CAAGAATTACTTATCCAAATTGTATAAAATTTTAATATGTTGTAGCCCAATATCATATCTATTAGCAAAAAAAATTTCATCCAATTTGGATTAGTAGTTGTTGAGAAATTCATAGCCAGAACTGTTAAATTTTAAATATTTTATATTATAAAAGATAAAATTTGATTAGTCAATAGCCTATCACTAGGGGTGTATGATCTATTTAAACCCTAATTACATAATAAACTGCATTTCTCTAACGGATATTACTTGCAAATGCTCTAAGACCATACTTATTCAAGAAACTAAAGCATGAAAAAGTGCCTTTGGCACATCAAAATTTTCTTATACCTCTTATCATATTCAAGTTTTATCCAAAAAAGAAATGTAAGGCACACAAATTCAAGATTTTATATCTGGGTGTTCAAAGCCTTTAAAGGCTTTTTTTTTTTTTTGCCTTGAGGTTTATTCAAATCTCTTTTATTAAAATACTTGAGCCCTTTCATTACTCAAAAACCTTCATCAAAAAAATTATAAAAATCTTTTTTTTTTTCTCTAAAAATTTGATTTTTAAAAGCTAGCGGTCTTGTTGTAAAAATAAGTAAACAGCATGCCAAAGCAAAAAAATTATAAAATGCTTTAAAAATATAACAATAAAAGGAGGATACAGGCTAAAAATAGGCGAGAAAAGGAAATTGCAGATGTTTTGGGAGACAATTTTGCTGAAGATAACATTTGTACTAAAGATGTTTTTGCTAAAACTATACGTAAAGAAAATATTTTTATTGATGTATTTGCTAAAAATGGTGGATTTTATGAGGAAGATGTTGATAAAGAAATAATGATAACTTCAACACTTGTGTGAAAGAAGGATAAAAAAAAAAAAGCAAAGATAATTAAAGAATTACTGAAATCAATGTATTATTATAAGTTCGGTACTTCCGGTACTCTTACAAATACTACAAAAGGAACCTATGAAATTACAGATTTTTTTAAACCTGTAAGGTTAGTAAAATAGTCTTTAGCCTTGCATATAATCAATATACAAGTTACTAACATTATTATTATTACTGTGCTAAGTGATTTTTCTAAAAGGTTTTCAATACCTTCTATATTTTCTATATTTCCCATGACTTCTTGGGCAAGTGAGTTTTTTAGTAGAGCTGTAGCATATTCCAAGTCACCTTTACCAAATAGGTTTTCAAATGAGAATATAAATAAGTTTATATTTATTGAAGGAATTGAACGACTTAGAGAAGACTTTATAAATAATTAAAAGAACTTAATAGTTATTGAATACAACAAACGATAGATGGTTTATGAATTTTTTGTTTGATTAGATAGTGGTGATGGCAAAATGAAAGCTAGTGAGGAAGCTATGCATATTGTCTGCATTTCTCCAAAACCATATACATTTCAAAAGATTCGCTTTTTAGCAGAATTCTATTTATATCATAGATCATTTCCAGTTATACAACATAGTTAATACCCAAAACACCAATGCCTTATTGATGATGAAAATTTTCTTTACAATGTAAAGAATAGATACATAAGGAATCAAAAGTAAATAGAATTAGTCCAATCCGTTTTATACAATATGTTAACAATATTATTTTACCGGAGTGTATAGAAGGATGCCAAAAAAAAATTTGTTTGCGAATAGCAGAGAGATAGTTAAACATTTTAGAATGTGAATTTAAGGAATATAAGAAGGTGATGTATTTTGATGAGCATGAGCAGGAGAATGTTGTAGCATATCAAAGTATGTTTTTAGATAGAATAAGAATATTAGAGCAGCATATGGCAATATATAAGGGGGAAGCAATAAAAAGGGTTTTACTAGTACTTAATGGAGAGAATAAGAGTTAATTTTTGTAACTCATGATGAATATATATTCTATTCTAATAATGGAAAGATAAAAATTTAGGTATTTGATAGTGAAATGCTTTTATAAAAAAAAGAAAATGAGAGATCAATAATGGAAGTAATTTTCTTACAAAAGAATGTGGTCAGCTAAAATTAAGTAATAATGAAGCAAAAATGTATTCAAATGTTTCTAAAGAGGCCCGTTGCTATCTCATGCCCAGTAAAAATCAAAAAGGTTTTGGACAATTGACAATTTATTAGATCAAATAAAAAATAAGACTATACCTGTATTTGAAGCAAAATTTTCTGATTCAATTGCTATTTTTGCCTTTGATAATAGTACTAACTATGCGGCATATACAAATGATGCTTTTATCGTATTAAGGATGAATCTGGGGCCCGGGAGTGCCAACCTGTAATATGATTAATGACATTTTTTGATTCTAATAGAAATGAAAGAGTATAGCAGATGGTTTTTGAAGAAGAAAATTTTAAGGATTCTGCTATGTAAGAAAAACCTAAAGATATAAGATTAGTATTAGAAGAAAGAGAACTTTGGAGAATGAGGTTGCATTTAGAATGCAAGATGTGTAAGAATAAAAAATTAGTGAATGATTCTTTATGAGTAGATTGTTATGCGAGAAAAATTATAGCTTTACAACTGAACTTTGTTGCACAAAAATTAGTGGTTGTGGAATTAATAGAAAATGCTAGTCATAAGTGCATTTTTTATCCAAAATATCACTACGAACTCAATTTTATTGAAATGTATTGGGGTATAGCCAAATGTTATACAAGAAACCACTATGATTACTTATGGGCCGGTTTACAAGAAATTGTTTCACAAGTACTCGATTTTGTTAACATTGTTATGATTAAAAGATTTGCTCAAAAGTCTTGGCGATATATAGATTTGTATTGTAAGGGGCTTACGGGAAAATTGGCCAAGTATGCTTGTAAGAAATTTAAGTCACATAGATAAGTTCCCTTGGGTAAATTAGCTTTTTTCATACAAAAAAATATCGATTATATTTAATTTGTAAGAATTTTTTTATTTTTAAATTTTTTTTTAAAAAAAATTTAGTCTAACCATTCTATTCGTTTTTAGATCTCAATAATATTAACAGAGTATTGTACTCTAAAGATGCATTAAATTTAAATTTACTTTTTTTTTTTTTTTTTGCAATTTGCAATTTTTTTTTTTTGCAATATTCTTGAAGTGTACATTAAAATCAGAAACCCAAAATTTTTAGAGACTGAGTTTTTTTAGTTTTATCTTTGATTTTTTTTTTTATTTTCTTAATGATGTATTGGCTATCAGTTATAAGAAAGTGGTATAAAAATAACAAGCGACAATAAAAATCTATTAATGTAAGTAACAACGTTTATAATGGATTTGGCATTGTATATATATACTGTAGTGCTTATTTTAAAGATATTGATCAAACTATTGCTTTTAAAGAAATTATATCATAGCTCTAATATAAGTACTGCTTTACAAAAACTTAAATATTTTAATATGCAGTAACTGTGTAGTAATGACATAGTAATTATATAATTACTATAGTATTAAATTTAATTGTAACTATATAGTTACTATGCAGTTACTATGCATTAAGAGATTCAAAGTAAGTTATATAGTAAATTTATATGTTTTTTGAAAATTTTAATTATAGATAACAATGAAAGGGACATGTCCTAAGCCTGATAATAAATTTTAATTTTTGGGTTTAAAATGAAACAAAGTTATGTAATTTTAGCTTTTAGGTATCATGCACTATATTAAAAAAAAACCTAACTAGTATTTGTATAAATTACAATTTGAGATGAACTATACACAACTTGGATTTATATATAATTAGGAGTCCACAAGTAAGCCAGAGAGTATCATAGTAAAATGTGATTCAGATTACTACATTAGAAAATTTTTTATATAGATACATATCGATATATAGCAAAAAATCGATATATATCGATAAGATAAAAATGGCATTTATCGATAATTTAGGATATAT